GGGATCCGAACAGCTACTGGAAGTCCGGCTGGACCCGCACGTCCTCCGCGCACCCAAACACGCATGCCCCGGCTCGCGTACCCAAACACGCGCGCCCCCGCCTGGGGTCGGGCGCGCGCCGGAGAGCGCTTCCGCCCCCGGAGCTCGGGGATCAGGAAGCTGCAGCCCGGCGGCCGCGAAACCAAGACTGCGCAGGGAGGCACGCAGGGTCCAGAAAATAAAAACTTCTTGGTTCCCACGCCAAGAACCGGTAATGCAGTCTTTACAGAAATATATTCGTTCATTCATTCAGGAAATATTTACTGAGCACCGACTAAGTACCAAGTGTTGGATGTACAACGGTGAACAAAACTGAATAGGCCCCGCCTTCAGTTACGGAGGTCAATCAAATGATTAGACACTTTTTTTTTTGGTAAATATTTTTATGTTAATTACTTCTATGTGTTCAGGCGCCTAGCGAACTTCTTGGGGGTGTCAGGAAAGCTTCCCTGAGGAAGTGGCGTTTGACTTGAGACCTGAACGATGAGTAGGATAACAGGTGAGGGGGAGTTGGCTTTCCAGAAGGAGGCAACGGCCTGGAAAAGGGCCGGAAACTGGAAGGTTGTCCCTCAGAAACCAGCGCCTGGGCGGGTGTGGGGGCAGAGTCAGGGTCAGCTTTAGAAAGATCGCTGTGGCTGTTGCGTGGAGAATGAACTGCGGGGGACAGAGGAGCGGAGGGAGACCAGGGAGGAAGCTGCTACTGTTGTCCTGAGGAGAGATGGCCAGCGTAGGAATGGAGAGAAGAACATGGGTTAGGATGCCAGAAAGGTGGTATTGGCTGGACTTGGTGATTGGAATCAAGACCTAAGATCTTACCCAAAGGCCCTCCCTCCCGTCTGTCTTCACGTGCGGGTGGCACGAGAACCTCAAACGCAGTGGTCCGGTCCTGCTCCCCAATCAGCGAAATGCTGCTCCACCGTCCTTCTCACTGCCAAGCGGAAACTGCACAGCCTCCTGGCTCCCTCCCCTTGCCTCCTCTAGGTCCTAGGGTTTGACCTCCTCCATAATTGCTGGGGCAGGGCCCATATTCCTGCTGCTTCTCAATAGGGGCACACAGCACCCCCGGGGAGTGTTCTGAGACATTTATGGTAATATTTTTGGTTGTCTCACTGATGGAGAAGGAGGGAGCTACTAGCATGCAGAGGGCAGGAGCCAAGGATGCTAAATGTCCTGCAATACACCGGACCAAAAAAAGCAATCCCATTGTTGTCAAGTCGATTCAAACTCAGAGCGACCCTACAGGACAGGGTAGAACCGCGCCATAGGGTTTCCAAGGAGAGGCTGGTGGATTCCAACAACTGACCTTTTGGTTAGCAGCTGACCTCTTAATCACTGCGCCACCAAGGCTCCAGTAAGCTAGACGATCTCCCCTAAAAATAATTGCTCCGTGTTCTACGGAAGTTTTGAGTGCCCCCAAAAGACACCCGTGTAGGTGAAAAACCCATTTATGATGATCTGAAGGCAAAGACTATTTTATATGAACACAAAGTATTTTACACTGACTTTTCCAGGAATGCAACTACTGTTAAAATTGATGGAAGAATATATTTGGTTTTGTTTGAGAGCTTTGTCAAGGGCTGTTCACCATTTGGGAAAAGATCACAGATAGTATCACAACTCCTGATATTAAAGGAGTCAGCACAGTGCACCTGCCTTTGTAGCCGCACACTTGGATGACACACAGCCATACTTGTTTAGTACTTATTTTAAAACGTCAAATAATACGACAAAATTGTGTACAAATTCAGTTGAATAATGAATGTCTTACTTCTCAAATCCGAACATATTTCCTGTAAGTGTGCTATGCCTTGTAGGGGAGTTGTGTTCAAACATTTATATACTGAAATACATGTTGTGTCTTTATGATTTGTTTTCCTTTTATGTTTCCTTTATGTTACAGTTGGGGTATTATAGATCTTTTTTTTTTTTAAAGATATGTACCAAAAAAACCCCCCGTTGCTGTGGAGTCAATTGTGACTCATAGTGACCCTATAGGACAGAGTAGAACTGCCCCCATAGGGTTTCCAAGGCTGTAAATCTACTGAAGCAGACTGCCACATCTTTCTCCCATGGAGTGGCTGGTGGGTTCAAACAGTCTACCTTTCATCTAGCAGTTGAGCACCTAATGACTGCACCACTACGGCTCCTCTTAAGATATGTAACCAAAAAAAAAGAAAAACCAAACCCTTTACCATTGAGTCAGTTCCGACTCATAGCAACCCCACGTGTTACAGAGTAGAACTGCTCTGTGGGTTTTTCTTGGCTGTAATCTTTCTGAAAGCAGATCACCACCCCTTTCTTCCACAACACCGCTGGGTGGGTTTGAACTGCCAACCTTTAGGTTACTCATCGTCAAGGGCAAACTACTTGCAGCACCCAGGTAGGCTTTATCATCTATGAATTTTGTTTTCGTTAATAAGTAAGTACTACAAACTATTTGCTGTAATGGAAGGGGGAGTTGAGGGTGGGAGAGAGAAGGGTTTAGGGTCAAGTGGATCTCAAATTTAAGTGTTTGAGAATTCCCTGGGAAAAACAGACCGGTGAATCCCATCCCTCAGATTTCTGACACGGTAGGGCTGCAGTCATGCCTGAGAACCTGCATTTCTCACATGTTCCCAGGTGATGCCATTGCCTCTGGTCTGGGATCACAGTTTGAAGACCACTGCAGTCCCTGGGGAGCCCTGCTGGCTCATTGGTTAAGAGCTTGGCTTCTAACCAAAAGGCCAGCAGTTCAAATCCACCAGCTGCTCCTTGGAAACCTATGGAGCAGTTCTACTCTGTCCTGTAGGGTTGCTATGAGTCAGAATCGACTCGACGGCAATGGTTTCTGGGTTTTAGGGTAATTCCTGGGTGGTGCAGACAGTTAATGTGCTTGGCTGCTAACTGAAAGGTTGAGGTTCGAGTTCACCCAGAGATGCTTTGGAAGAAAGGCCTGGCAGTCTACTTCCAAAAAATCAGCCACTGGAAACCCTGTGGAGCACAGTTCTACTCTGACACACACGGGGTTGTCGTTAGTCGGAACTGACTCAAGGGCAACTGGTGATAGCAGTAGTGATCCTAGACAAATGCCGTGGCCTCTTCACCAGTCTCCCTTTCAGTCTGTTCGTCTCCAATCCATCAATAAATCCTCACCTAAATCTGGTCTTGCCACCCATCCCTGGCTCCCCATAACCTATGAACTAAATCCTAATCCCCCTGTCCTAACCTTGCCTGCCTCTCCACTCACAGCCACTCTTCCTGAAGGCTGTCCCACCACCACTCACTTCCTTCTACAGCAAACAGGACCTCCTCTCTCCCGCCACTGACTCTGGCCAGAGGTCACCTCAATGCCCCTAGGCAGGGTTCAGCATCCTTTCTACCTCCCTTGCCCCAGCCCACCACCACCGGTTACCTTCCAGTGAACTCCAACTCCTGGCGACCCCACGTGTGTCAGAGTAGAGCTGTACTCCATAGGGTTTTCAATGGTTGATTTTTCAGAAGCAGATTGCCAGACCTACCTTCCAAGACACCTCTGGGTAGACCCGAATTTCCAAGCCTTTAGTTAGCAGTTTAGCACTTTAGCTGTTTGCTGTTCCCACCCTACCCCAAAGACAGTAAATGTCACTCTGCATTGTAATAATGTGTCTGTCTCTGAAGGATGTCACATCACCATAGAACCAGGAATAATCCCTTAGAAAAGCCTCAGGGGTAGGACTGGGAACAGGATGAGGGGGCAAAATTTATGGGGGTGCGGGGGTGTCAAAAAACTCAGTAATCAAAATAAATCATATTTTAACGCAATAATCTAGGAAATCAAAATTAATGCAAAAAAAATCCATGATGAACAAAATATCAACATTTTAAGTAAAGATGGGAGCAATGCAAAATCACTGATTTTTCCTTTTGCCCCAGGCTCCAATATGGCTTGGTGGCGATTGTTCTAAACCTTTCCATGTAAACAGCCTGCGGGCTTGACTTCTGTGGTCTCTAAGGGGGTGGGGAGGGAAAAGGAGAAATGAAAGCCCCCCCTGGCCTTAGCTCAGGCCCCAGACAGCCCCAGGAGAGGAGGAGGGGGACCAACTGCAAGAGGCAGCTCTAGCTTTCTCTTCCAGTGGAGCCCTTTCCATTCTGTATCGTTGTTTATTTAATCATCTTTGACCTTCTTCTTCTAGTTTCAGCTCAGATTTGCAACTATTAAAAATGGTGAATTACTGGGTGACTGCTCGTAGCCAGGCACTGTGCAAAGTGCCTTGCAAGGGTGCTGGGGACACTGTTTATTAACATGTGAATGTTTCCTACCCCTGCTCTAGGGCCACCTCCTCCAGGAAGCCTTCCAGGCCTGAGGCTGGGTTAGGTGCCAATTCCCTGTGCTCCTGCAGCCCCCTGCTTCCCTGCTGGTGACAGTGGCATTATGGGCTTGCCCTGTGCCTGTTCCTGGGTCGGGCTGTTTTAGGTACATTGTTTCATGTCTCACTGCTGTAATTCCCATTTCACAGATGAGGAAACGTGCACAGCGTGGTTAAGTCACATGCCCAAGGTCACGCAGCTAGAGAGTGGCAAAGATGGGACTCCAACCCACGTTTTTCTGCCTCTAACACTCAGACAAAAGACAGAGATTCTTCCAGGACAACCTAGGAGGGGGGAAGGGAACAGAAGTCTACTGATAGTTCCCTTTTTCTAGCAAATAATTCTCCCTCTCATTGCAAATAATTTGCAATTCCTCCTCAACTATGCAGAAATGAAATTCAGAGGTAATAAAACTGTGGTAGGCTGAATAATGGCCCTTCCCCCTAAAGATGACCATGTCTTAGTTCTAGAACCTGTGAATATGTTGCCTTACATGGCAAAAGGGACTTTGTAGAGGTGTTTAAATTAAGAATCTTGAGATGGGGAGATTCTCCTGGGTTATCTGTGTGGGCCAATGTAAATCACAAGCATCCTTATAAGAAGGAGACAGGAGAATCAGAGTGAGTAGTAGGAAATATGATGATGGAAAAAAAGAAATTGGAGTGATGTGAGAAAGGGGCTGTGAGCCAAGGAATGTAGGCAGCCTCTAGAAGCTGGAAAAGTCCATGAAACGGATTCGCTCCTGAATCTTCCAGAAGGGACTCAGCCCTGCCCACACCTTGAGTTTAGACTTCTGACCTCCAGAACTGTAAGGGGATAAGTCTGTGCTGTTTTTAAGCCACTAAGTTTGTGCTCATTTACCGCAGCAATATGAAACTAATAACAAAAACCAACCTATACATATGCTCTTTTTTTAAAAAAAAATCAATATAATGCCCTAATCCAATATGTTCCAGGTACTTTTGGGGCATTATATCATTTTCTCATTCCTTCAACTCTTTCAACAAACACTTATGGAGCGCCTACCTGTGCTGGGCACTGTTCTACCACTACCTGTCTGTCGGTTTGTCATACTGTGGTGGTTTGTGTGTTGCTATGATGCTGGATGCTATGCTACCAGTGTTTCAAATATCAGCAGGGGACCCTGAGACTATGGACCTTAGATGCCCTTCTAACTTGGAACTGAAGCCACTCCCAGAGATCACGTTTCAGCCAAATGATAAAACCAGAAAAACCAAACCGATTGCCATTGAGTCGATTCCAACTCATAGTGACGCTACAGGACAGAGTAGAACTGCCCCATAGGCTGGTGGAGTCAAACTGCTGACCTTTTGGTTAGCAGCCAAGCTCTTTAGCCACTGCGCCACCAGGGCCCTAACCAAATGGTAGGCCTATAAAAGAAAGAGTCACACCCGTGAGGAAAGTACTTCTTAGAAGAATCATCAATATGAGACCAAAAGGGCAACATCTGCCCAAACGCAAAGGTGAGAAGTCAGGAAGGGATAGGAAAACCAGATGAACGGAAATGGGGAACTCAGGGTGGAAATGGGGAGAGTGTTGACACATTGAAGGGATTGCGACCAATGTCACAGAAAAATTTGTGTATAAATTATTGAATGGGAAACTAATTTGGGTCTGTAAACTTTCAACTAAAAACCCATGCCGTCGAGTTGATTCCAACTCATAACGACCCTATAGGACAGAGTAGAAGTGCCCCATGGAGTTTCCAAGGAGCAGCTGGTGGATTCCAACTGCCCACGTTTTGTTTAGCAGCCATAGCTCTTAACTACTATGCCACCATGGTTTCCAAACTTTCACCTAAAACACAATAAAATGTTTAAATATACATATATATATATCTCAGCAGGGTCACCCATGGTAGACAGGCTATAGCAGAGCTTCCATACTAGGACACGCTACAAAGAAAGGCCTGGCAATCTACTTCTAAAAATTAGCCAATGAAAACCCAATCACAACAGAACATTGTTCGATATAGTGCTGGGAAATGAGCCCCCTAGGTTGGAAGGCACTCAAAATGCACAGTGGCTGCCACAATGGTTTCAAGCATACCAACGATCATGAAAATGGCACAGGACTGGCCAGCATTTCGTTCCATTGTACATGGGGTCACCATGGGTTGGAGCTGACTTGACAGCAACTGATGACAAGACTTGTGGGCACTTTTAGTGCACATTCGTTGCACATCTGGCATCTGATCAGAGGAATCACCATGACAACCTGAGGGAGGTGGCATTATGGGTAACAGCAGGGATTCTGGGGTTTGCCTGATTTAAAAAGGCCTCCCCATGTGGTGGTGCAAATGGTTAATGGGCTCAGCTGTTAACCTCAATGATCCCTAACTCCTGTATCCACATCCTTGGGCAGTCGCCTCCCCCAATAAATAGGGATGACCTGTTTAACCAATAGGATACCACAGAAATGATGAACATGACTTCTGAGGCTAGGTGATAAAAGACATTGCAGCTTCCACCTTGCTCTCTCTTGAATCACTTCCTCTGCGGGAAGCCGCCTTGTCATGAGGATGCTCAAGCAGTCCTATGGAGAGAGGTCCACATGGTGAAGAACTGAGGCCTCCTGCCAAAGACCAGCTCTAATTTACCAGCCATGTGAGTGAGCCACTGTTGTGGATTGAATTTTGTCTCCTAAAAAGTTAGTTTGAACTCCTAACCCCTGTGCCTGTAACTATGACCCTGTTTGGAAATAGAAGTTTTCTTTTGATGTGTTAATGAGGTCATACCTGAGTAAACCAGTTGCAGGGGAGTCAACTCCCACTCATGGCGACCTCATGTGTGTCGGAAGACAACTGTGCTCCATAGGGGTTTCAATGGCTGATTTTTGGGAAGTAAATCACCAGGGCTTTCTTCCGAGGTACCTCTGGGTGGACTTGAACCTCCAACCTTTTGGTTAGCAGCCAAGAACATTACCTGTTTTATAAGTGGCATCTTATAACAAGAGCGGGATAGGTACAGATGCACATACCCACAGATGAATCTATATAGCAGCAAAAGAGTGCCAAGGATTGCAGGCAATCACCAGAAGCTAGGAGAGACGCACACAGAAGGAATCAACATGGCCGAGGCTCTGATTTGGACTTTTAGCTTCCAGAACTGTGAGAAAATAAATGTCTGTTCTTTAAAGCTACCCATTTGTGGTATTTTTTGTTATTGCAGCTGTAGATAACCAAGACAACCATCTCAGAAGTGGAAGTGGATCCTCCAGCCCAGTCAAGCCTTCATATCACAGCCCTGGCTGACATGCTGACTGCACCCTCATCAGAGATCCTGAGCCAGAACCGCCAGCTCAGCTGCTCCCAGATCCCAGACCCACAGAAAATGTGTAAGATAAATGTTTATTATCTTAAGTTGCTGAGTTTTTTTTTCCTTTTTCTTTTTATTATACTTTAGATGAAGCTTTACAGAGCTAATTAGTCATTGAACAATTAATACAAATATTGTTTTGTGACATTGGTTTTCAGCTCCATGACATGTCAACACTCTCCCTCTCTTGACCTTGAGTTCCCCCTTACCAGCTTTCCTGTCCTCTCCTGCCTTCTCGTCTCTGCCCCTGAGCTGGTGTGCCCCTTTAGTCTCGTTTTGTTTTATGGGCCTGTCTAATCTTTGGCTGAAGGGTGAACCTCAGGAGTGACTTCATTACTGAGCTAAAAGGGTGTTCGGGGGCCATACTCTCAGGGTTTCTCCAGTCTCTGTCAGGCCAGTAAGTCTGGTGTTTTTTTTGTGAGTTAGAATTTTGTACTACATTTTTCTCCAGCTCTGTCCGGGACCCTCTGTTGTGATCCCTGTCCGAGCAGTCAGTGGTGGTAGCCAGGCACCATCTAGTTGTGCTGGACTCAGTCTGGTGGAGGCTGTGGTCGTTGTGTTCCATTAGTCCTTTGGACTAATCTTTCCTTTGTGTCTTTAGGTTTCTTCATTGTCCCTTGCTCCAGATGGGGTGAGACCAGTGGAGTATCTTAGATGGCCGCTCACAAGCTTTTAAGACCCCAGACACTACTCACCAAAGTAGAATGTAGAACACTTTCCTTCTAAACTATGTTATGCCTGTTGAGCTAGATGTTCCCCAAGACCATGGTCCCCAGAGCCCTCAGCTCAGTAGTTCGGTCCCTCAGGGAGTTTGGATGTGTCTACGGAGCTTCCATGACCTTGCCTTGGACAAGTTGTGCTGACTTCCCCAGTATTGTGTACTATCTTACCCTTCATCAAAGTTACAACTTATCTATTGTCTAGTGTTTTTCCCTCCCCTCCCTTGTAACCATCAAAGATTGTTTCTTTTTATGTGTAAACCTTTTCATGAGTTTTTATAGTAGTGGTCTCATATAGTATTTATCCTTTTGTGATTGACTTACTTCACTCAGCATAATGCCCTCCAGATTCATCCATGTTGTGAGATGCTTCACAGATTCATCATTCTTTATTGCTGCATAGTACTCCATTGTGTGTATGTACCATAATTTGTTTGTCTGTTCATCTGTTGATGGGCATCTAGGTTGTATCCATGTTTTTGCTATTATGAATAATGCTGCAGTAAACATGGGTGTGCATATGTCTATTTGTGTGATGGCTTGTATTTCTCTAGGATATTATTTCTAGGAGTGGGATTGCTGGATCGTATGGTATTTCTATTTCTAGTTTTTTAAGGAAGCACCATATAGTTTTCCAAAATGGGTGTAACTTTTTGCATTCCCACCATCAGTGCATAAGAGTTCCAATCTCCCTGTAGCCTTTCCAACATTTGTTATTTTCTCTTTTTTTGATTCATGAGGGTAATGTTGGGGGAGATGGTATCTCATTGTGGTTTTGATTTGCATTTCTCTAATGGCTAGTAATCTCGAGCATTTCCTCATGTGTCTGTTAGCTCCCTGAATGTCTTCTTTGGTGAAGTGTCTATTCATATTCTTTGCCCATTTTTTAATTGTATTATTTGTCTTTTTGTTATAGAGGTGTTGGATTTTCCTGTAGATTTTAGAGATTAGACTTTTGTTGGATTTGTCATAGCCAAAAATTTCTTCCCATTCTGTAGGTTCTCTTTTTACTCTTTTGGTGAAGTCTTTCGATGAACATAAATGTTTAATTTTTAGAAGATCCCAGTTATCTAGCTTATCTTCTGGTGTTTGTGTACTGTTAGTTATGGTTTGTATGCTATTTATGTCATATATTAAGGCCTCTAATGTTGACCCTATTTTTTCTTCTATAATCTTTATAGTTTTGGTTTTATATTTAGGTCTTTGATCCATTTTGAATTAGTTTTTGTGTATGGTGTGAGGTATGGGTTCTGCTTCATTTTTTTGCAGATGGACATCCAGTTTTGCCAGCGCCATTTGTTAAAAAGACTATCTTTTCCCCATTTGACGGACTTGGCGCCTTTGTCGAAGATCAGGTGACTGTAGGTGGATGGATTTACATCTAGATTCTCAATTCTGTTCCATTGGTCAATGTGTCTGCCGTGGTACCAGTACCAGGCTGTTTTGACTGTCCTAGCTTTATACTAGGCTCTGAGGTGAGGTAGTGCAAGTCCTCCTACTTTATACTTTTTCTTCAATAGTGCTTTACTTATCCGAGGCCTCTTTCCTTTCCATATAGAGTTAATGATTAGTTTTTCCATCTCTTTAAAGAATGTTGTTGGTATTTGGATCGGGATTGCATTGTATTTGTAGATTGCTTTGGGTAGAACTGACATTTTCACAATGTTGAGTCTACCTATCCACGAACATGGTATGTTTGTCCATTTATGTAGGTTTCTTTTGGTTTCTTGCAGTAGTGTTTTGTAGTTTTCTTTGTGTAGGTCTTTTACATCCCTGGTTAAATTTATTCCAGAATATTTTATTTTTTTTGGGTCTGTTATAAATGGTGGTGCTTCCCTGATTCCCTTTTCATAGTTCTCTTTATTGGTGTATAGGAATCCAACTGATTTTTGTATGTTTATCTTGTATCCTGCTGCTCTACTGAATCTTTCTGTTAGTCCAGTAGTTTTCTTGTGGAGTCCTTTGGGTTCTCTAGGCATAGTATCATATCATCCGCAAATAGGGATAGTTTTACTTCTTCCTTACCAATATGGATGCTCTTTATTTCTTTTTTTTTGCCTTATTGCTCTAGGTGGGATTTCCAGCACAATGTTAAATAGGAGTGGTGATAAAGGGTGTCTTTGTCTTGGTCCTTTCTCTGGAGGAATGTTTTCAGCCTCTCTCTGTTAAGAATGATGTTGGCTGTTGGTTTTGTATAGATGCCCTTTATTATGTTGATAAATTTCCCTTCTATGCCTATTTTATTGACAGTTTTTATCAGGAATGGGTGTTGAACTTTATTGAATGCCTTTTCTGTATCGATTGAGATGATCGTGTGATTCTTTTCTTTTATTTGTGTGGTGGATTACATTGATTGATTTTCTAATGTGGAACTATCCTTGCATACCTAGTATGAATCCCACTTGGTCATGGTGCATTATTTTTTTTGATGCTGAATTCTACTGGCTAGAATTTTGTTGACAATTTTTGCATCTGTATTCATGAGAGATATTGGTCTGTAATTTTCTTTTTTTGTGATGTCTTTGCCTGGTTTTGGTATTAGGGTTATGCTGGCTTCATAAAATGAATTCGGAAGTATCCATTTCTTTTCTGTGTTCTGAAATAGTTTGAGTAGTAGTGGTGCAAGCTCTTCTCTGCAATATTTGGTAGAATTCTCCAGTGAAGCCATCTAGGCCAAGGATTTTTGGTTGGGAGTTTTTTTAATTACCTTTTCAGTGTCTTCTCTTGTTATAGGTCTGTTCAGATTTTCTATCTCAGTTTGTGTTAGTTTAGTTAGGTAGTGTGTTTCGAAAAATTTATTCATTTCTCTGGGTTTTCAAATTTGTTGGAGTATAGTTTTTCATAGTACTCTGTTATGATCCTTTTTATTTCAGTCGAGTCTGTTGTAATGTCCCCCATTTCATTTTTTTATTTGGGTTATATGCCTATTCTCTTGTTTTTCTTTTGTCAGTTTGGCCAGTGGTTTGTTGATTTTGTCGATCCTTTTGAAGAGCCAGCTTTTGATTTTTGATTCTTTCTATTGTTTTTTCATTCTCTATTTCCTTTATTTCTGCTCTGATCTTTATTATTTCCTTTCTTCTGGTGGCTGTGGGCTTCTTTTGCTGATCTCTTTCTGTTTGTTCCAGTTGTGTAGCTAACATTTTGATTTTGT